CTTGACGACCTCTCCTTCCACCCCTCCTTCCTCCTCCCCATCGACCCCGTCGACATCCCAGACCCCTCCGCTACTACCTGTGATGACCGCTGCCTGTCGCCTTGCAGTGTGCTGCCCCTGCCCCTCCTCTTCCCTGACCCTCCCTGCCCCGTCGCCTCTGCCCTTGACCTCTCCTCGTCCGACGACCCCTCCCTCGACGCCCTGCCGGATCCCGGACCTCCCGGCAGCTGGGGCCCGGAGACCAGCCGCTGGGACGCGGCGGCGCGGAGCAAGCACAGCTCGGCGTGCAGGGGCATGAGCCGGCTGACCGCGCAGGAGAAGCTCGACATCGTCTGCCTCTACTACTCCGCCCCGGCCGCGACCAAGCACCGACGGACAATCCAGCAGCAGGACCTGTCGAGGAAGTACTGCAAGAGCCGGGCGGCGATCTGCAAGGTGCTGAGGCCGGAGTACGCGAGGGGGGTCATGGCGACGGCTCAAGGGCTCATGGTCAAGAACCACAACGAGATCCTCGACAACATCGCACAGGAAGAGCGTCGCAAGCACAAGGCCTTGCGCCGAGGGCCAAGCGAGGCGACTGGCTGAGAGGTGCGAGGAGGTATTGTGATGCTGCTCAGAATCCGGACGTAGCGGATTCTGCACTGGCTGGGCAGGCGCCCGACCTCCGAGACAGCAGCGTGTCGGACGGGCTAGACCTGATGCACCTTGCTGGCAACTTCTTGTCATCATGCCGACAAGTGACTTGGAGGACGACTTGCCCGCCGATTGGTGGTGGGCCCGAGTGAAGAACTTGGAAGCACTGGCAAAATAGTATGCGTGAGGCGGCCGATTGACGCTAGCCTCCAAATGTCTAGATCCTAGTTCATTTGACATCAATCCGAGATTTACATACGTTTAGATCCAAAATATCACAAACAAACATGGCTCCATGACTCTTTCATGGGCGAAGTGGGTGGATGAGGCTCTTGCTGGTGTTCAACTTGGAATCAGTCAAGATCCCTGAATAGTCTTCATCAAGAGATGTGAACGACATTGATTTACAATCATGACATGAAAGGTATTTGCGGCAGGCAGCATATGTAGATCTTACTGTTATTGGTAAGATGATGTTGAAGAGCCAGCACAACTATCCATGTCGACCCCCCTACATAACATCCGATCTCGAACCACACGCCGCATGTTGTTCAAAACCTGTGTTTTGACCTTCAGGCTCCCTTGAATGAGAAGTCTTGATGAGACCATGATGCCTATGCAACGGTTTCTGAGTATCATGTTGAGTACATTGAAAGAGTTTTGAAAGACTACTCTCCTGATTGTCCTTGTACTGATTTTTAACTTAATTTTGAGTGAAAAGTTGTATACATCGGCAGTCACTTTCGGTCACAGCGGGCCTGCTCTAGAGTCAGCCCGATTCCTTGGCACTGAGACTCCCGGGAGGCACCATCGGAGTCGATCCCCGGCCCGCCGCCCCGACCCGCCGGCCCCACGAAAGTGAAATAAATAATAATAAACCATGAAAGGATAATTTTACTACTCTCCAGCAAGTATGTGACCAGCGACTCAAACAAGCAAGCGATCACCGGTCCTGATAACAGTGATCAGGGCTCGAGGGGGGTGGGGTGTCGCGGACTGGGGAAGCCCGTGACTCTCCGGAGCAGTACCAGGGGTACACGTCGAGTCGAGTCGGACTGGTGACTCAAAAAAGAAAAGTTTAATACCGTCCACTACCCCTCCTGTTTTCCACTAGTGAACTATCACTGCCCACCGGTCCAGTCTCCCTCAGTGGGGGAATGTCGCTACCATGTTGTCTCTTCGGTCCGCGACTCTCCGCCTGACAAGATGGAATGAAGACACCCCTGAAGGGGGGGTAGTGCGCGAGGTAGGCTGGTGGCGGGGGTACACAGCGAGTCGGACTCGTAATGAAAGTAAGCAGACGCTTGTAAAAAGAAAGTAGTCACCGGTCCTCCTTTTAATAAATCATAAGTTTACTACCGTCCCCCACCCCCCCCTGGAGTGGGGGAATGTCGCTACCTCCTGCTGTCCCCTTGGCTTACAAGCTGCCAGCCCCTGCTCCCTCCCTCACCCGCTGAGCCCCTCCTCCTATCCCTCCCTCCTCAGCTCCTGCTATGTCCCCGTCTCTACCCCACGGGAACCATCCCTAGAGTTCTGAGGACATACTGACATACTCCCACCACTCACTGAAAGCTGAACGACTTCACCATATTTATCCCATCTCAACTACTCTACAATACACAACGTTGATACCCTGCAGTCTGATATTTTCTGCTCCCCCCGCCATCGAGCATACCAGACTAGATGGCTGATGCTTGAACTCCATGGTCCGACGACC